CTCACATTTTAATGTAAAGTTTTAAATAAATTTTGTCTTTTCCTTTAATCATTGTAATTTATTTTGTATAAATTTCAGGATTAGAATGGCTGAACACGGAAGAGCCTATGTCTGTCTATAAGGATCTATGTGGAAAAGTGGTCGTCCTTGATTTCTTCACCTACTGCTGCATAAACTGTCTTCACCTATTGCCTGATCTCCATGCATTAGAACACACATACTCTGATAAAGGTATCTGCTCTTTAATTAGTTCCTAGCAGAGTGTCCTGGCATGAGCACTAGAAGAGTAGCTGACTCATTCGCTCATAGGAGAATGAACATTTGGCAAGACTTCAGTGATTCTAAAAGTAACCCCTAATCTATGAATTAAGGACTCCGTGTGCCTTTTCATGAAGGGTTAAGCTTAGTGATAATGATTTGCTTGTCTAAAGAACCAGCATTTAGTGTATGGTTTTTCTCTGAGGATAAGGGCAAAATTTAACTTTCTTCATGATTAGGTATTTAAAAAGGTCTTTTTGTATGTCTTGGCTTACCTAAATTTGTTCTGTGAAAAAAATGAAGTGTATGACATTAATTTTATGGTCTTCTCACTGTGATCTAAAGGTTTAAAGTTCTTATTAGGAAATGTGATTAGGCTTCCATTAATATCAAATGACATCAGCTACAGTGGAATGTAAAATGTTATAACAAGATAACTCTTTCTTTGACCTTGCTTCATTAAAAAATGATTTATTGCAGCTAATGTTTTTCAGAGCACACTAGGAAATCCTCTTTTATAGTATGACAAATTCTCAAGATGTAAGATTATACTTATTATTTTCTCTGGAACTTTGAAAAATTATCAGATCTTTTTGTCTTATCTACTTCTTTCTAAAAAGAGAGTACAGGGGTAAATGAAATTAATTAAAGTTTCCATTTAATTAGGTTTAAATGAATTGAAGCTCTAGTCTTGGAGTGGATAAAAAAGAGATAGGATCACCGACTTGTGAGCGTAAAGGTGGAAGTAGACTATACATGTACAAAAATGAAGGATATCTTGAAATTTAGTTTAAAAAAGGAGTGATAGATAAAATCTTTAGTGTAGGTGGAACGTTAGATGATGCTTTGAAGTTGTAATAGATTGTATCATAAAATTATCAGTCAAAAGATTTATCAAGAACTCAGATATTTCCAGTAGCTGAATCATGTTTTCAAACATTTATCTGTATGGATTTAAGAAATATGGGTATCTTATTATCTCCTAGGTTTTGGATGCCAGTGTTTCTTGTTCAAGCCATCACATTTATTGAACATGTATTATGTGCAGGGTACTCTGCTAACTGCTGAGGAAATATGTAACAAAGTTGAATAAAAAGCATTGTGGAACCTGAGGAAAGGAGTACCCATTTTGCCTAGAAACATTGGAAAAGATTTCTCAGAGAAGCAGGCAATTGAGCTAGAACTTGAAAAATGAGCAGGAGTGCAGCTGAAAATGAAAATGAGGCAGAAGGGACACTCCTGGCTAAGGAAGCATCAGGTAACAAGCATGGAAGCACAGAAGAGTAGGATTCTTGCTCCAGGAACAGGTAAATAATTCAGTGTGGCAAGATTATAAGGACTCATGATAAGAGTAAAAGGAGACAAAGGTAGGTTAGGTTAGGACTACGTTGTGAAGTACATTGTATAACATTTTTAATAGTTTAGACTTCTTCTTCCATTGAGGATACGGAGATGGTTGAAGGTTGCTTTTGATTTGATTTGTTTTTTAATAGAATGATGATATTTGTGTTTTAGAAAGTCATTACATACTGGGTTAAGAATTTCAAAGTTAACCATTTCCATACCATACCATTTAGATAACCCCTAAAGGACTGTTTGGTTAACTTAATTGCTTAACCCCATACATGAAGCCAATTCAGTGACTTCCTAGAATGGATCCTTGTACTTTCCGACCAATTTACTGGAAACATTCTTTTTATAGCACATTGTGACAAAAAATGAAAAATATTTTTACATACAAATACACTTCTGAAAAGTAAAAGACTTTGTAAGTAGAGAGAGAATTCTGGGAAGATAGAGGAGTAGGAAACAACAGGAATCTGTCTCCATCTAGCCAACAGTTACACTAACAGAATCTGATATCATAGTTTTGGAACTCTGGAGTCTGTTGAAGGCTTGCAACTTCCAGGGGAGGGCTTGGACTTTAAAATATGGTTAATTTCAGTCAATTTCAGTTCTCAACAGGGTGGTAGCTGCCCGTCTCCCAGCCCTAGCTCCATGGTAGGCAGCTGTGCACATGTTCCTGGAGCAGTTTGCACATATTTTGCAGGAGCCATGGTGGGCAAAAAAGACCTCATCTTCCAAATATCAGAGATCTGTGCTGTGATCTCTGGTTGCTCCTTTTGATTAGAGAAGTGTAGAAAGAGGCAGAGGTGATTGTTGTTGCATCGTCTCACCGTGCTGCAAGCCTCTCTCCCTGGCTGAAGTGACTTCCAGGGAATTTCAAGGGCTAGTACCCTTTTCCGCACTTTATTTTCTCTTTTTCCTCTTATAGGAGCTAGATGTTGAATAGTACATTCAGTAGCAACTGGATGTACAGAGAAACTTAGTTACCAAACATGCCCAGGGGAAGGCCCAGTCTCAGAAAAGATCTGAAAAGACCTTAAGTTTATACCTCAGGGTGATCCTTGGCACAGAGATACCCCACAACAATTAAAAACAAATGAACAAAAACCCAGCAAACCCTGGGGAAGGGAGAGAATATGATTTCCAGGGTTACCATATTATTAGATGCAAATGTCCAGTTTTCAATGAAAAATCACAAGGCACACACACAAACAGGAAAGTGTGGCCCATTCAAAGGGAAAAAATAAACAGAAACTGTCCCTGAAAAACACTTGGTGACAGATCTACGAGAGGAAGACTTTAAAACAATTGTCTTAAAGATGCTCAGAGAACTAAAGGAAGATATAGAAAAAGTCAACAGTGTATGAACAAAATGGAATAACAGTAAAGAGATAGAATATCTAAAAAGAAGCCAAAAACAAATTCTGGAACTGACACTGACTGAAATGAGAAATTCACTGCAAATGTTCCTTGACTTGCGATAGAGGTTCATCCCAATAAACCCATCAACCCATTGTAGGTTGAAAATATCTTCAGTTGGAAGTGCATTTAATGCTGGCAACACAGCAGAGAGTCCCCAACTTATGATGGTTTGACTTATAATTTTTCAACTTTATGGTGGTGCAAAAGCAATATGCATTCAGTAGAAACTGTAACCCTTTTGTAAATTGTAAGGAGTTCCTCAACTCATAATGGGGTTACGTCTGGATAAATCTGTCGTAAAGTTGAAAAATCGTAAGTTAAACCATCGTAAGTCAGGGACTGTAGAGAGATTCAGAGGCTCATTTGAACAGGTAGAAAAAAGAATCAGCAAACTTACGAAATGATTGCATCTAAGAAACAAACAGAAAAAAGAAGAAAAGTGAACGGAGCCTAAGAAACCTGTGAAACACCATCAACTAAACATAAAAAAAGACAGTAATGCAAGAAATAAGGAACAAAAAAGCTCCAAGGCATGTAGAAAACAAATAGCAAAATAATAGAAGTAAGTCTTTTTTTATCAGTAATTACTTTAAATATAAATGGATTAAGCTCTCCAGTCAAAAGGCACAGATTGGCAGAATGGATAAAGAACATGATCCAACTATATGTTGGTTACAAGAGACTCACTTTAGATCCAAGGGCATAAATAGGTTAAAAGTAAAAGAGAAAAGGATATTTTATGCAAATAGTAGCCAAAACAGAGCAGCTATATTAACATAAGACAAAATGGACTTTAAATCTCAAAAGGTCAAACATTATATATTAATAAAAAGTTCAGTACATCGAGAAGATAAAACAATTATAAACACTTATGCACTTAATAAGAGACTATCAAAATATATGACATAAGAATTGGCAGAATTGAGGAGAGAAGTGGATTATGCTACAATAGTAGTTGGAGAATTCAGTATCCAACATATACAGACCACTGTGCCCAATAATAGGACACATACATTCTTTTCACGTGCATATGGGACATTTTCCAGGATAGACCATATGTTGGGCCATAAATTAAGGCACAACAGACTTAAGATAGATATTATACAAAGTATCTTTTCCAGTCACATGGGATGAAGTTAGAAATCAATAACAGAAGGAAAACTGGAAAATTCAGAAATTTGTGGTAATTAAAATAACACACTCTTAAACAATCAGTGGACCTAAGAAGAAATCACAAGGGTAATTAGAAAACACTTAGAGATGAATGAAAAGGAAAACACAATATGTCAAAACTTATGGCACATGGTGAAAACAGTGCTAATGGGGAAATTTATAATTATAAATACTTAACATTAAAAAACAAAAAAATAGGCCCAGCGTGGTTGCTCACGCCTGTAATCCCAGCATTTTGGGAGGCCAAGGTGGGAGGATCCCTTGATCCTCCCAAGGCATGTAGAAAACAAATAGCAAAATAATAGAAATAAGTCCCCTTGAGGCCAGGGGTTCAAGACCAGCCTGG